AAATTCGTTCTCAATCCTTAACTTAAGCACATCTCGTTCGCGTCAACATTTGATCGATTATCGAATAGGATGCTGCACAGATAACACTAGTTATTCATATAAACAAGTCGGACATAATATATATGCTGTAAAAACTGGCAGACATTCACCTTTACCGCACTGGTGTTCGTCTCACCCACACCTTCGATACTGACTGATTATGAAAAACATGCATGACTAGTAGGCCCCTATAGGCTTACATGTTATAGAAGCAAGCAGATCAGCTGTACTAGGAGGTGTCACGTAGCTGAGGTAATAGGCTGGTTCATATTTATAGGCTTTATATTTATATTTTATAACTTTTTACAGGCACATTTCTGGATATTTATCCCAGACTATAATGCTATCGTCACATATTCATCAAATAATGTCCCCGCCTGTTATAATCGCCATCTGTAGTTTTATATACGTGCCTCGCAGATAACAATAGCGGAGAATTGAATGTTCGAATTCACACATCACGCGTGGTTTCTAACGCTTCAAGACAGACCTAGAAAGTAATCAGAGTTTCCTGATAATAAAAATTTAATAACTAAAATTAGATACGCTGACGAAATTGTTACGGACAGCATTACATACACGGCGCGCACACCGCGCACCGCGAAACCGCAACCACGCACCGCACACTGGCACGCACGCACGACGCACACACCCACACCGCGGCGCGCTCTATCCTTTACACACACCAACCCACAACACCACACACACACACACCCCCCACCACACCACACCACACCACCATATCCCAACCACCACACACACACACACACACACACACACACACACCACACCCCACACAACACACACACACACCACACACACACACACACACACACAACCACACATATACATACTAATCCGTAGTAGTAATATAACTATATATAATATCAATATATCAAGACGTAATAATAACAATTATTTTGTTTATTTATTCCGGATATAACGGGCCCTGTGGTCTATGTATTACACGGGTAGATTGCAGTGCTGTGGCATTTGTGAGCTGATTGTAATTCGTATTCAATTCAGTGTATTATTTATCGTGTTTTAAATCACATTATAGTACATTATTTATATTATTATATTATTTCCAAAAGTAAGATCACCGCATTAGCCGGCCCTGGCTCTGGTCTGACAGCTTGTCCCAACCTGCGAGGACATAGGGATTCCTCTCTCGTGCTCTCTCCAGTAGTGCGCATTTTCTGCACTTCCATTGGGCAGTGGGTGGGGGCAGCGGCAGTTCCTTGAGATTCTTCTCCAAACCCCATTTTTTATAGAGCCAAGGGCTCCAACCACCACTGGTACAATTATCGTCTTAGTATTCCACATAATAATAATTATTATTATTATCATTATTATTATTATTAATATTGGTATTATGTACTGCGCATTATTAGTGTACGTAAAACATATATTACATAGGTTATATTTATATATAATACTCGGGAGTGAATAATAATAGATCTATAATCTATTATTATTCACTCCTGATGTAACGAATCAACTTTCTATATATTTATATCTTTATTTCTATTTATATAGAAAAATTGGTAACATCTCTAACTAGAGGTATCGTATATATTGAACTGCATAGGTTACCTTGTAATTTCGTATCGTTTGAGAAATTGGCTCATTTAAGTTAGGCTATATGTAATATTATACGTCCTATATCTTAAGCAAATAATACTTATCACATTGATCTATTTCTTTATTTATATTACTGTTTCATTACACATTTCATTTATTTACATATTTATTTAATGCATATAAAACAAGTAATTAAATCTCATCACTATGGTACTATCCGGCACTACGTACGTCACCACACGGTAAATTAAATACACTGAGCATGTAAAAACTGTAAAACTACCAATAGATCGCTTATCGATTCGTGATACTTATCGATGACGTTAACACGACTAATGCGACATTTTTAACCTAAAAGGCTCGTAAATAAAATCTTGCGTAGAGTCATTAGCTGACGCCTGAATTTTGCCTATGATATCTTGTATGCCGGAAGGTCGGACAGTCCTCGATCGCTTTGGGGAAAATATTACTACTAGTACTACACAGCCGACCTATAATAAATATAGCTAATAGCGCATGGTGGTGGTGGGGGGTTAACGGCTGTTTACAATGCGCCAGCGTGCTCAATAGGAGCGGGGGCCGTTGGGGGATTGGTTTTTAAGTTTAGATGGAGTAAAGACGAGAAAAGAGCGTTCGGCCAACTCAAGCGATCGCTGACCTCCGCGCCGATATTAGCTTACCCGACGTCGGAGGACAAGTTCATACGGATGCAAGCAATACAGGCTTAGGAGCTGTGTTGTCGCAAGTTCAGAATGGCGAAGAGAAAGTAGTAGCATACGCCAGTTGGACGCTGAACAGCTCGCAGGCGAGATACTGTACGACCAAGAAAGAATTGTTAGCAGTAGTGGTATTTGTCAAACAGTACCACCATTATCTATGGGGAAGACCATTTAAGATAAGAACGGATAATGCATCGTTGACTTGGTTGGTCAATTTCAAGAACCCGGCGGGGATGGTAGCACGATGGATAGCATTATTAAATACGTACGACTTTGAAATTGAGCACCGGAGAGGACAGCATCACCAGAATGCGGATGCGTTGTCACGTAAGACATTCGGGAAATGCCCGAACGAGAACTGCCCAGATAACAGGCATAGAATGATGGGAGCGGGGGTCCGACCAGCGATGAAGATGCACTCAGGGGACAAGGAAACGCACGTTCAGAAGGAAGAAGACGAGGAAAGTAGTAGCGAAGAACCACCCAGCTGCAGTGGGGGACGATAGGATTCTACATGGAGATATGAACCACCCAGTCGTAATGGGAGGAGAGACGATTCTTCATGTGAGGATAAGGAGCAGCGTTGGCAGGTGTTAGTAGTGACCGAGGGAGAGCGAGAGAATCGCAGAGAAAATCTCGAGGGTCAGGGGAAGACCATAATGTATGGAACCCAGAAAATATTAGGAGATTACAGGATAAGGTCCTTGTAATTGTTTTCTTCAAGGAACGAAAAGAAGCGGCGTTGGACAGACCTAAGTTCGCAGAAATTGCAGGAATGGGGTCGGAGGCGAAAGCGTACTGGGGGCAGTGGAATCAATTAGAGGTGCAGGAAGGTAAATTGTATAGACGATAGGAGACACTAGTCACGCCGACTCATCCCATACTTCAGTTGGTAATACCTAAGGAATTGCAAAGAGAAATATTTCAGCAATTACATTACCATCGTACAGCAGGACATCAAGGAGAGAAGCGGAGTAAAGCCAGCATACAGAAACGGTTCTACTGGCCACACTACACGAAGGATATTAAGAGATGGTGCCAGTACTGCACTGTCTGTGCTCGGAAGCGACCTGGAAAAGGGTTAAGAAGGGGAATGTTAAAACAGTCGGAAGTAGGAGCGAGTTGAGAAAGAAAAGGGAAAGGCAGAGGAGAAGTTAAGAGTAGAATTGGAAGACGAAGGTGTATCCGAAGGCGGATACTAATAGAAGTTGGAGGGAGTTGTGGAGATTTCGGGGGTGTGTAACTCACAGGAACAGTAAACTAGATCAGGATGGATATAATAGATTAAACTCACAGTATAGATGGAATAGCCATATATTGACTAAAGAGAGGATAAGATATAGCCAGCACATGGAAAGCGCGCACGTCCATGGGCGCAGCCATCTTGGATCAGGCTATCACTGCTACTGCCATGGTCGGGGAAAACAAGGGGTGAATACGCGGAAAGCAGTAACGCAAGATAAATAGAATATAATAATCAACGCGGTTATGTACTAGTGGTCAACAAAATATATGAGGAGATTTGAATAGAATGAATAGTCTAAGCTGTCGAAGAGAGGAATATTTACTTAGAAACAAGTTGCATAAGGCGATGCAATCATCGTACCAGCCACGGGTTGCGTCATCAGGTGAAAGCGATTGCACCAACGAACGAAATCGGCGTGTGTTTTGACAACGCGTGCAAAACAACGGCACGTAGGGGGCCGTTGCCAGCTAGGTATATAAGGCTCGCCGAATCGCAAAGCATTAGCGTTATTTCTCAGGTTAGGTTTAGGAAGAAGAAGAAGAAGAAGAAGAAGAAGAAGAAGAAGAGAAAGCAGAGAACGAAGAGAAAGAGAGAGAAAGCCGTTTAGGTCTATAGAGAGAGAGAGAGATAACGGAGGGAGTAGAAGGCCGGGTTTTCAAGTAGGTGAAAACCGGAGAACAACGAGAGAGGAAAATAAAACGGAGAAGGAGAAGAACGGGATTTCAGTTAGGTAGAGCCAGAAGCGACTACGAGGGAGACACCCGTGGAGGCTGCCTAGGTCTACGCAAATCAAGGACGAATGTGAGAGAGGAAGACGAAGCCGGCGACTCGTTAATGCTGTAATATTAGACGAGATAGATATAGGATCCGCTGCATATACGAATGCAGGGGAATTATTTGTAAACTAGTAGAAAGCAATAAAACTATAACCGTACAGTTAACCTAATCTAACTGTGTTCTGTTCCACTGGTACTACCTGTTATTTGCTACGGGCATCACCGTCCTGCCTGATATACCGGCAGGAGCGAACACTGGATCCAAACAACTAGGAAACGTGTTAACTATATAACGCCTGTCGTACCGTAGTGTCTACCCCTAGGGCCACTACAGTAGGGTGTGTGCGTTTGGTAATCTAGATTCATGGATATAACTAAACAGTCTGCAGAATTTCATACGGCAAGTGCTCGACGTTCTCTCGCGGACAGCACCTTATCAAGCGTACATAATAGATATATCTATTATGTACTCTTGACCTTATCAATAGCTTTTACGGTATTTGCTAAACGTATGTGGTGACTTCTGTGATATGTTGGTGAAAATGTAAACATTCGTCACCGAATATAATGCACATTTTCTCCGATTAGATTTTGTAACTGGTTATAAATCTAGCAATGACAGAATGGGCAGTATAAGTGTGTTAGACCCCATGGTAGTCCTTGTAAGCTTATCGCGTAGGCGTAGAGAACATCGTTATGAAATCCACTACAGCAAGGACTTGCCTTCGGATTTTCATTATAATCCAAGCTGCTACGTTCGTAGTACCATCTGAAGGTATTGTATATGTAAACGTATATATAATTGAATAATCATTAATAAGAAAACTTATAGTATTAGTGAATTAATCTACAGCGCCAACGCTACAACGCGCAGTTCATATACTTATACTTTATTATTTTTATTATATATTACTATATTATTATTATTGTACGTATTATTAGTTCATTGTATTATAAGCAAAGAATAACTGTGACACTCGGTCTAAAAAATAATGCCACCGTATGCAAGCTAGGGATAATAACGACCTGGCGCTTTATAACGATGTAGATGTTATAAGTGCTCGCTGCAGGTTACTCTAGGAAATTATTGAGTATCATTTTGATATCACGGTCGGCAACAGGAGCCAAAAGCAACTGTCGATATCTGTGCAGCCTTACTGTTGACGGAATGGTCGCATTCACACGGTGCGAATGTTAGCGTGAGCCTTGTACTGCAGTAACAATTCGCAATAATACATTCACCGAATCTTGTTGTCTCGAACCTGTTACTGAGTATGATTTAGTTATCAATATATATTTTCTGTTTTACGAAAAGCTACAGTACTATACGTGCGACCTCGGTCAGCAACACGACTTAGACTTAGGATACAGAACCTTAGCTGACAATGAGACTTATAATATCAGTTTGGAAACACAGATGTAAAGGGGGAATATCGTACATGGTGTCAGTTTTGTATATTACTCAGACACAGGCGAGTAGGACAGTAGAATGCAATGTTTGCAGAGAAAAAATGCTTTAAGATACATATGTCAAACCCAACACAATAAATGTGGGCGGGTGACGACATCGACAAAACTCGATTTGACTATAACAGTCTGACCAAGAATATAATGCAAATGATGCAATCATGCATCATCCGACCAAACCCACGAACACGAAACGTTATCTGCTCTATATTAGTCAATGCCCAGCCAACGAATATATATATATATACCCATTTGAGTCACTATACTATACAACAATACATCATATACACATACATTTTTATATCATATTTTCAATATACACTTTTATTCAGAGGCAAAATCAGCAAGAAGCCGTATCTGTCTGCGGATACCTTGCCTACAGAGGCACAGCAGGCTAATTGCTGCAACATTTGGTAACAGGAGTGTTTGAATATTTGTATATATACATATGCATATATATATATATATCAGGAGTAGATGATAGGCCTATTATCTACTCCTGATATATATCGATATGCGTGCGTGCGTGCGTGCGCGCGGGTGTCTCTAACGTTCTCGGCTTTCCCTCCTCAATCCACCGGAACGTGAGTTAGCTAGGCCTATATGTGATCGCTCGACATCTAATACATATTCGTGAATATATGTCTGTTGTTTGTCTGTTCTCAATGCAAATCAATATGGAGCACTCTAGAAATGTCCAAGGACGTTCAGAAGGGGTAACTTTTGATGCTGAATGTCATCGTCACCAACTGAGTGCTTTATTTCCCGTGCACCGCCGGGTATCCTGCTAGCTATAACATAAATGGCCAGCCAGCAAGTGACCGCCCGCGCATGCGCTGACGGAAGCAGCTCTATATCCGCCTCTATACGCCACGGTATCAATTCACGACAGGCATGCAAGCCATCGTTTACAGAGGCATCCTACAATATATCACAAAACTGAACAACCGTCTAGTTTAGTATTGTCGTTATATAGCACCTGATTCCTGAGTGCTTGAACTCAAACAGACTCTGATATACGCAAAGGCCGCGCAAAATCGAGCATCCATCTTGCATTTGCTTAGTCGCGCTGGTATTACAATGCAGGATCTACATTTGCTGCCTGCAACCTTTGTCCATATCCAATGAAACGACAAAAATGCCGTTCTCCGAATAGGTCTAATGTGAATTTCTACACTCCCGCTTTTATACACCAGCGAAAACTACCCCCTCCCAGGAAATGAGTTAATATCTCTAGATAATAGCTTTTGTGATAACGTACACATATACAGGTTTTCGACATTTACCAGCCAAATATTTGCAATTCACAGATGCGCAATTTTGGAATGAACAAACACAAGCTCTTCTAAACAAGTACCTACAGACAGATTATAACTGCGGCGTTGCCAAGAATGCTATATTATTCATCGGCGATGGCATGGGCCTCCCGTCACAGTTCACCGGTAGAGTACTGAAAGGTCAAATAAAGGGTAAAACAGGAGAGGAGGAGTTTCTTGAGTGGGAAAAATGGCAGCACACCGGACTTGCAAAGGTACAGTCGCGCCTGTTGTGTATTTACGATATGTTCGTACTTAGCGAGGGGTCCGTAGATTTACACCTTCGTACGATTTTACGAACCCGCCGTAACATATTATCAGGACTCAGGAGTGTATCATATAGATATATTATATGTGTAATATTATATATATATGTATATATTATATGTATAATATGTCTATATTATACACGCCTGATATTATCAGTGAGCGTTCAGCAGATTGCAAGCGTCACAAACTACTACTAAACATTATTTATTGCCACCGAACTCATAAATGTGTGCAAACACTAGACTGAGTTTGAATTAACTTAAGAATCGGCTTGTTAAGAGATTGCGAACTAACTTGTCAGTCTCCCGCGGACCTATCCACTAATACGTTTAATGTCAGTCTATATGTATATGGTTCGTGCCTGTTTGCGCGATGAACTGCGCACTTATTATCGGATCATAACTCATCTGAACACCACCCCCCCGAATCAATGCGGTATTTGAATTGATTACTCTCACTACACTGCCGGGGGGGGAATTATGAGCAAGCATACAAGAATGTCAAGATTTTCTAACGAAACAAAACCACACAATAGCGCACAGTGTGGTTGTCTAAACGTGTTCAACACAACTGTATGAAAGCCCAGACGCTTAATTAACGAATACCAACGAATGAAGCCCGTGACCTAATTGGTCAGCTGAGTAAGGATAGACGACACAAATTCTGCTTAAGCACTAAAGCTCTTTACATTTCCAATTATACATTTTCCAATGACGAATGGGCTTTCAGGAGGCTGAGATCATTATTCTCTGAATAATTTTTTTCACAGACTTACAATACGGACTATCAAGTTCCGGATTCCGCTGCTACTGCAACAGCCTTCCTATGCGGTGTGAAAGCGAAGAAGGGCACTGTGGGCTTAGATGACACTCTCATCGACAGAGGCGACTGTCCTTCCGCGAGTAAAGCAGAAGTGTCCTCGATTGCCGAATGGGCCATCGCGGCAGGTTGTTGCAACATAGCTTACCACCTAATAACTTCATAAGTAGTAGTCTTCAAAAGTCCAAGGGACTATAACGAAGACGAAGAGATAAGTTGATCAAATCGATAGATAAACACTGCGAAATGCATTAGAAAAAGCTGCAAATTTGCAATTTACCAAAGAGGAACGGAGAGAATACCACCATGCAGTTCATCTTTAAACTTGCACTCCCTCAAAGCCATCAATGAAATCTGCATTTAGATACATTCGCTTAATGGTGCGCCGAATGAGCAAATAATATACAATCCCTTATATGCACAGATATTTTGTATTGTTTGCTTAAAGCAGGATCTTAAAAACAGTTGGATCTTGTGGCACTTGGCGTAAAATTTCATGCATTTTCTCACCCACATATCGCATTTATGTACGTTATACCTTGAGCTAATCATCTTCTCAACATAACACGTGTATTCGATATATAGATAAACACGAACAAGTGCAATAAGATTAGAATGCAACGTGGAAAGCCGGATTCGAAATCGCCACAAAAGCGCCACAATGGTTGCCGTTACGAGCTCTACATTGTTGGCTAGTATCAAAGATCATATACAATTGTATATGATCTTTGCTAGTATAGACCTTAAAGCGTTGAACTAATTTACCATGATAGGAGAGCTAGTTTGACTTGAGGTTGAGGACGGCAAGCCCTGCTATTAGTGTTTGTCGATAAAATCATGGGGCACCTATTACCTCACATCTCGCAGCATGTGTGAGAAACGATCTATGAAATGATATATCACTGGTTCGGCATAATAATAGGAGCAGAACCTAGGCTATACGCATATATATATATATATATATATATATATATAATTAATTAATTATAAATTAAAAAATCTTAATATTATATAATATATATCCTATAATTATATATTATTATTATATTTATTTATTTATTTATTTAGTTATTTATCTATTTATCTAATAAATTTATAATGCCAGATATGTCTACGTCTACTATCTACGATCGACATATATACCACTCTACATATCTATTTATTTATTTATATATAATTATAATGCCAGATATGTCTACGTCTACTATCTACGATCGACATATATACCACTCTACATATCTATTTATTTATTTATATATAATTATAATGCCAGATATGTTGACAGAACGTCGGTCCACACGTACGTCATTTCTGCAGGAAAGTCAGCAGGCCTGATTACGAGCGCACGAGTGACACATGCGTCACCAGCACCACTCTATGCTCACTCAGCCGACAGGAAATGGGAATCGGATACGGCTGGCAACAGCGAGTGCAGAGACATAGCGCGTCAACTAATAGAGGACATGCCTGGCAAACAGTTAAACGTACATCTACTTCCAATCGTATTATTTTATATCTTATACGCACATCCCGATGCTCATATAATTTTATGATGAAACCAGAAATACGTAGTGCGTAACACAGTAATGTATGATACGTTATTAATATGTATTCGTAAAAAAACAATCAGGATATTATTCGTGCTATTTTCGACATGCACACTTCGACAGATGCGAATTTTTAAACGATGGCAAATTGAAACCATTTTTTTCTTCTTTCCAATCAAGGGGCGTGCGCGTGACCTTTCAGTCTGTGCTCATTGACGTATTACGGATATAATCCGATAGCAAAAAACCCCGATTTCTGGCATTATGTTGTTTCGTGATTTTCGCCGTAGCGTAATTCTAGCTAGCAATCTATATTACCTCAAATACTATTACCTGCCTTTACAGCAAATCAGGAGCAAGGCTTCCTTCCTGCGCCTTCATACCCCTTGATCTTCACGAAACAGCTAAACGTTAGAAAACCCAAACGTGTATACGTGTACTACTTACTGCACAACATTGATGAGTTGTAACCAAATATTATGCTTGCCCAGTGAAAGCTATAACTGGCAGTTATTAACGTTATTCGTATTTCAATCAGTAAAAGGTATTATTTCGTGCTAAATATTAGTGCAGAGGCTCAAAAAATCAATCGAGTCGCGGTGCGCATGGATTTTATCCAATAAAAGCTACTATCGCGTTTTTTACGCCTGACAGACAAATAAACTGAGAGGTACATGAACATAGATCTCCTCTATTCAAGGACTCCTAATAACATCCTATACAGGTGGTACTTGGAGGAGGCAGATCGCGATTCACACCTACTACGCTGGCAGATATTGAATACCCGGAGAAATTTGGAAGACGCTCCGATTTCAGGAACCTGATCAACGAGTGGACAGAAGAGATGACGAAGAACGAGTTGCAACACGCGTACGTTTGGAACGCAACCCAATTCAACTCTATCGACCCGGCAGATGTAGACTACCTTCTCGGTACGCTGTACGCCGCCTTTCAAATAGACATGATGGAATAGAGAGTATCCTATAGAATATGCACACCACGATAATGATATACTCCTAGTTTGATAAGCACGTCTGCACAACATGTGCGATATGTGTACAGGTTTTATTATTTCAATTTAATTAATCTCTACATATATGTAGCTACATGTTCCTACACTAACATGCAGTATGGACATTATATTATATTTTATCGAATAAAAATCACATAGAAGTAAGCTCCTCCTTGTGTGGCGTAGCTGTGTGTGTGATGTGTGGGTGGGTGGGGGGGGTGTGTGGTTGCGTGTTCGTGTGTGTGTGTGTGTGCGTGTGTGTGTGATGTGATGTGGGGTCTGTGGTCTGTGTGTGCTGTGTAGTGTTAGTGCTGTGTCGTGTGTGTGTGTCGTGTGCTGTGTTGTGTGGGTCGTAATTGTGTTGCCTTGGTGTTGTCCGTGTGTGTGTGTGTGTGTGTGTGTGTGGTGTGCTGTGTGGGGGGGGGCTCGTGTGTGTTGATGTGGTGTCGTTGTGTGTGGTGTGTGTGCTCAAAATGTGTACTGTGTGTGTGCCCGTGTGTGTGTGGGCGGTGATGCCGTGTGTGCGTGTTATGTGTGTGTAGTCATGAAACGCCCGTGCGTTCGTCTGGCGTTTGCCGCCTCTCTGTCTCCTGGCCCATCCAAACATTCTCACAACAAACAATTCTCTCGCTCTCCTGACTCGTAATGGCTGTGTCTCGTCTGTCTCGCTCGGTCTCTCTCGTCTCTCCTTGTCCTGTCTGTCGCTCTTCTGCTGTCTGTCTCTCTCTTTCTCCTCTCGTAACTGATCTCTAAAAATATCACCGTGCTTAAGACAGTCAACACGTTACGGCTCTAAAATCCTTCCTTCAAGTTTGTAAAACCGAGTATCGTTCTTGTATCTCAGATGTACTCTGTTGTGTTTATCTATTGCGAGTAATCAAGTCTCATTCTGTGTGGCGTGTGATCTCTTTTCGTCTGGTTAAGCTTCGCCTCCCCCTCTCCCCTCCCGTCGTGTACGGCGCTCTCAGCTCCTCTCGTCTCTCTCTCTCTCCTGTTTGCTGTTTTGGCTCGCGGTTGCCTCCCTTTCCACTTTTATAGTCCAGGCATACTATTGAAATGATAGCATATTAATAATCTTGTTAGGAAGTCTTTTTTATTTATATAGGTTATGGGTTAAATCGCAAACAATAGTGAATCATTGAATTTATCATAGGTGAACCATTCTAACATTTCGAATCTAAGATAAAAATTAACCTTTTGAATTTTCAGGTTCTAAGCATTGGACTGGGCACGATCACGATGCGTCAGCGTCACATGGCCCACCCCAAGAGCCTATTGTCGCTTGATCCGACGGGTGGATCCGGGGTTGCCCATGGATAAATGATCGCAACACCATGCCGATACGTGGCTTCGAGTTGGTGACTGCCTCGAAGTCGTCTCAGCTCAATGGACTGTCGCTGGCTACCTCGAAGCGAGGAATCCCATGTTTGGTAAGCAACAACGGACATGACTCGATTATACCCACATGATCGTTTTGGTATGTAGTGTTTTTTTGGCGTAGAGTACACGTCACGACAAACGAGCTCGCAACTGCATCGCGTACGAAAAATACGTTTCGCCTAAGGCATCTCTGCTCACGATCATCGAGCTCACGCATAGAAATAGAGTATACTAAACTCTATGATAGTATTACATAAATAACTATATATGTCAAAGTTGGTCACTGCCTGTCTACTTAAAGCAAACGGTACGACCACCATGCGCCAGCTGGCCGAGCCCATCTGAAACCAAAACTAAGCCAAAAATGTGAATTCTGCCGGTGTGCGCGCCGTAACATTTCAAATGGAAGTAGTGACAAATTAGCGAAGCTTGGATTTATCATGGCCACACGTTCAGTGTGAATACGAGAGAAGCCTTCCGTGTGCCCAGTGCTTGTCTCAACCATTGAGCACTGTGAATTCTGCCGTGCTCGAAGACTAGCGAGTAAATGGCGGTCCCGTCTCAAAGTAGTTGATCTTTGTAGTTCTTGATCCGCTAAGGACCAATGCGGGAAGTATAAAACCACTGAGGGCGCAAAAAAACTCTCGGCTGTCGACCACCCTCAGTGCCTTTCGCTCAAAAACAACTAAACACCGGCTCTAGTACCTCACAAGTAGGTCAAGCCCCATGGTACTAATAGGTCCGAGCTGACTTGGCGGAATCAGGCAGACAAGATTATCCTCGTGCGCGGCAGTCTCAGCTAAGCTGTCCGTCGATACGAGGAACTTATTGCACGGGACGTTCACCTATCCTGCGCATATAGGCTCGTCATACGTAGGCGTAGCTC